TTCAATAGGGTAAATTCGTCTCTTGACAACAGGGCAATACTTTCTACGAAAGCGCCTCACAAATTCCTTGAAATTGTCTTTTTCTCTACCTCGGAATATTCCTGGATCAGCGCATGCTGCAGCTTGTAAAAAGGCCATGAAGTAGTTATTAGGTTCTGAGCTCTCACCGTGGACTTTCTCCTCTGGTGATTGGCCTTCCAAGTCCGCTAAATGCCGATTCCAGCGCGGCTCTGAGAGCGAGCAAATCTTCATTCGTTCTTGTTGTTGCCTCCAATTCTGATAAGAACTCGAGTAGCTTTGCTCATTGCGAACAAGGTGGTCTGTACCCAAATGATGTTTCTTACCTTTTTCATCATTTGGTTCTGCCATTTCTTCGTCGTTATTATGGTTTCCTGACTTCAGATCCTTCAATTCTGTTATCTTTTGCTTGATCTGAAACACATTTGTTTCAAGCATATCACACAAGTTTTCGATGAGATCCTCATCTCTTTCTACCGTGCTTAAAAACTCTTTGAATTCTTCTACGCTATCTACTCCTCTCTCTTGAAGCATTGCGTAGCAGCTTTCCTCTATTCTTTTCTCTCTTACGTGGCTGAAACTTCACTAAGTCTATATGAGGCGCATGCGTCTTTTACGACTTCCTTTATGGCATTTTCTAAGGGTTCTCTATACCTTCCAGACACCCTATGTTCATCTAAGCTTTTCGACAGCAGATCTGGTATTGTATTGATTATCTGCACTGTCAGATCGATTTCATCATCAAAACTCACCACTGAGGTGTTTTTTGTCTTCTTCACTTCATCAGATTTAGCCGTCTTTTCGCTTGATGGGCTCATGCTGATGATCTCACTGATCACTCTTCTGCAAAGCAAACTTTGTTTTCTCTTTTCTCTCCTTCTAAGTTGGTGTCCCTTCGTGGACAAGCGACTCCTTCGTGAGTCAGTACTGGTGTCAGAAACGATGTCTACTTGAGCTTTCTGAGAGCCGCTGGTTCGGCCCCCATGTGATTCTTGAAAGCTAGACAAGTTGTTCACGATAATAGGCGAAACCGGTTACTTTTACATAGAAAACCTAGAGGTCACACTATTACGAAGTCAAATCTAGTAATTTCACAACCCAAAAGATACCAAATACTGGGAGATGACCACTTGGGTGGCCGCGCTAAAAGTCTCTTCCTAGCTATGCCAAGCGGCATCAAACAACGGGGTTTTCAAGCTGTTGTTGACGAGCTCAGCAACATGCTTGCGTACGAGTCAACAGCGGCTAGGAATTCGAGCCTTAACTGATCTTCGGAATCTGAAAATAAGACCAGGTCAAAGCATTGTAGACTTCTGTGTAGTACTAGAAAGCCTAGGAAAGAAAGCAAACCCTGAAAGTACAATCGAAGACCGTTCAATGGAATACGCACAAATTGTACTAGAAAACCTGAAAGATTGGCCGGAGCAAGTTCAAATTTTGAGTGCGTTGCATAGCGTAGAGCCGAGACACGCATATGATAAAATCAAAGAGTTAGCCATCAGCATTGAGCAAGCTAACGCGATCAACGGTAAGCGCGGGACGTTATATAACGCAAGACCCCGTCAAAACTGGAGGGTGAGAGCAAGTGAGTATAAGCGAAAAGATGGGTATGGCGAGGAGCTTCAAAACACTGATAGAAATGGACATCAAGAATGCACAAGAAACGTAACCGTTGTGCCAGAACGAACACAACTGTTGAGAAGAACACATTCTTCAAACTCAAGAGAAAGATGTGAAATCCAGAAAAACAGCAATGATTCTCGTAAATGTTACAACTGTAATAGGTATGGCCACATTGCTTGGCAATGCCCCCTGAAAGATCCCAAAGTAAGGCAAGTAAGTTGTGACAGTGGAGAAAGAACAAGTGTCAAACAGAGCAAGCCACTTACAACTATGATCAATGAGAATCGATCCATGGGTATAAAGACTGAAAGGGGAGGCAGTGTCGAAAAAATGACATTATTGGAGAAAAACTGACACAGAAGTGTCGAACTTTTGAACTGCAGGGTTCAAGCTTTGATAGACTCTGGTTCGATGGTAAGCATCATACCATTGCAAGTACTAGCGAACGCGTATCACAAAGGGTATAACATAGAAACGTTGGAAAGGGAAGATGATAGCCAGATGGAGACAGTTTACGACGCATCCAACCACCCTATGACATTTCTAGGTATAGTCCGAATCCACGTAAAATTACATGGCGGTCCTTCAAGTGACATCGCCTTCCACATATCGGATGAAAAGAGCGAGGAAATCCTATTAGGCACAAATGCGCTGAAAAAGCTTGGCATAAAGATAATCATAAATCCACCCTCAAAAGAAGAACAAGAAGTTACAACGAAGGATGTTCCCCCAAGCGCAATTTTGGCTGCGGACCGGGTAGCAGTCCCCGCACTCTGCGTGCGCCTAGTTACTGCGCTATGTGATGTTCCAGGGGACACCACAGAAGGCGTGATCTGGGCAACGAAACAAGGCATAAATAGTGGAATATACAAAGTAAGAAACAAGAAAATCACTATACCTATACAAAACCGAGAACATGAACCCTTCGTCATCAAGAAAGGAGAGAAACTCGGCGAATGGGGAACCGAAAAATGGCTTACCAAGTGGGAAGACTGCACCATGTTGGACCAGGAAAGCTTCAAAATAAGCATCGACGAGAAGCAAAAACTACTCCAAGAGCAAATACAGCAAAATCGAAAAGAGAACAGCATTGAGGAAGATCTTACAAGCCTTCTGATCAGCTATGCCGACGTATTTGCTGTATGTGAAAAGGAACTAAGCCAGACCGACCTAGTGAGGATGAGTATAGATACAGGGGATAGCCAACCAGTCAAACTCAAGACACGACCAGTTCCTTTGGGCTTACGGAAAAGGCTGAAGGAAATGTTACAAGATTTAGAGGACAGAAAAATCATAGAAAAGAGCAATTCAGACTGGGCATTCCCTATTGTACTAGTTGAGAAAAAAGATGGTAGCATCAGGTTATGTGTCGATTATCGTGAACTCAACAAGTGCATAAAACAAGACTCTTACCCAATACCAACTATAGACGCAATCTTGGGAAGTTTAGCGGGCAAGAAGTACTTCTCAACGCTAGACATGTGCAGTGGCTACTGGCAGATACCACTGGAGGAGAACACGAAACACAAATCCGCTTTCACAACGCCAGAGGGCTTATATCAATTCAGAGTAACCCCGTTTCGGTCTTAGCACTAGTCCAGCGGTCTTCCAAAGATTGATGGATACAGTGCTCAAAGATTTACTGGGTGAAGAAGTATTCTGTTACATAGACGATGTGATGATTTGTACGGATTCACGAGAACGCCATCTAGAACTGCTACGGGAAATCTGTGACAGAATGAGGAGAGCCGGGTTACGCCTCAAAGCGAAGAAGTGCGTACTACTACAAACAAGCGTCTCCTTCTTAGGGCACGTGATCGATAGTGAAGGTCTCCATATGGACAGACAAAAGATTGAGGCAGTACGAAACTATCCAGTCCCCAAGAATGTCAAAGATCTACGAAGTTTTCTAGGGAATGGCTTCATTCTATAGAAAATTCTGCCTGAATTTCTCAAAAGTTGCATCACCCTTGTTCAAGCTGACATCGTCCAAAATGAAATGGTGCTGGGAAAACGAGCACGATAATGCATTCCAAAGAATGAAGGAAATGATTTCATCGTCACCCGTGTTGAAACAGCCAAGAATAGAGGATGCTAGGAGTGGCAAACACCCATTCGTCATCTTTACGGACGCTTCAAGTACAGGCATCGGAGCAGTCCTTTCCCAAGAACATGAAGACAAATTTTTGCATCCGATTTACTTTGCTTCGAAAAGCTTGAGCAAAGCTGAAAGAAGATACCATATAACTGACCTTGAAGCGTTGAGCGTAATCTTTGCAGTAAGGCGATTCCACATGTTCATATATGGAACACCTACCGTAGTGAAAACCGACCATTTGCCCTTGACAGCACTCTTCAAAAGAACGAACGTTTCGGCAAGGGTATTACGTTGGTCATTAGAACTTCAACGATACAACCTCCGGATACAGTACATCAAAGGAAGGGCGAACATGGTAGCAGATGCGCTAAGTCGAGGTGCAGTAGCTCAAGAAAGCCAAGAAGTCACAGAAAGAATTCACGAAACTGTCGTATGCTCAATAAAGAGTGAAGAGTCCGAATGGCTCAAAGAGCTTCAACGAGAGGATGATTGGTCGCACCTCATAAAGCTATGGAGGGAAGGCAAACTCGACGAAGTAGTCGAAATAAACGGAATAAAAGAACCGGTTCGAGTATCTGACTTCGTGATAGAACATGGCAAGCTGAAAATGTTCCGGGAAGACGGTTCTTTAGTTCTCGTTGTACCCAAAAGAGATCGCTATGACCTGTTTTTAGAAGCGCATGCAGGCGTTTTGGCCGGTCACTTTTGTGCCAACAAGGTATTCAATAAACTGAAAAAGCAAGTATTCTGGCCTGAAATGATGAAAGACATCCACAAATGGACGAAAGAATGCAAAATTTGCTTTTTGAGTAATCCCAAAAAGATTGTGGTGCCTCCTCTGAAGCCCATACGAACGACGAAACCGTATGACGTCGTAGGAGTCGATCTGTTGGAGCTAGGAAGAACAACATCAGGAAATCGCTATGCTGTAACCGTTATAGACCATTTTTCCAAGTTTGCGGCAGCATATCCAGTACCTGACAAGAGTGCAGAAACAGTAACAAAAGCAGTTTTCTGTAAATGGATCGCTGACGGATGCCGTTGGCCCAAAGTAATTCTCTCGGACAAAGGCGCAGAATTCGAGAACAAAATCATGGCAGAATTGGAAAAAGTGGCAAACATTAAGCACGTCTTTACGAAAGGTTACAACCCACGTGAAAATGGTATCACCGAGAGGCTGAATGGCACAATTGTAGCCATGTTACGAAGAACGACGAAAATACCCACGGAATGGGACGAAAGGCTTCCCTTTTGCATGATGGCGTATAACATGACACCGCATAGTTCCACCGGTGAGAAGCCCTTATTTCATACTGCATGGGATTGACCCCTACTGCCCATCGAATGTTATCCCTGTACAAGAGATATCGAAATACACAGTTGACACAAGCATGGGCGACTTTAAAACAGCTATAGTGCAAGGAATCCAAGAAATCCATGAGAGAGTGAAAGAAAAGAATGACAGAGTTCGTGCTTACATGAAGAACGTGTACGATAATAAACATGACGTAGACCGCGCAAAGCACCCCACTGTAGGTGAAAGAGTGTACGTCAAATGTCCTGCGGAAAGATGCAGAAAAGAGTACCCTAAACTCGCGTGTGAATGGTCAGGCCCTTACAGAGTCATTACGGTAAGCGATAACTCAGCGCTAGTTACAAGAATAGGCGAAAACAACGACCCAATTCAGATACCAATAGATCAGTTAAGGATAGTCCCTTCATGTTTCTCGAATGAAAGAATAGACACAGAAACAAGTAGAGGGAAAAGAGGGAGAAAAAGTAGACAAGTTCAAGTGCATAGAGTAACAACTTCCTCTTGCAGAGGTGCGACGCTGTCGAATAGTACTCAACCTGGACACCTGCTGCATCAATGCCTCAACGAATGTCTCTTCAACGCGAAACTATCAGAGATCCCAGATATGACATTTCCCGGCGCATTCGCCAATGAACCCGTAGGAACAGTATGGAAGGCCTGGGTAGCATGTAGCATATTCGGTAGGAAGGACATCGATATGATTAAGAAGATCAAATTCTACAGACAAGGGGTCATATGTCTGGATGAAACGGCGCTGAAAAATGTGTTAAAATTTGCGTACGAAAAGTGTACGGAATGGACTGAGTTTCTCTGCGAAACCGACGAGATTAAAAAGCATGTCCCCGTAGAAGATTATTGTGTGGAAGGCATGTACAATAAGGCTCTGAAAGAAGTGAAAAATGACCTAAACGAACAATCCAAGGAGACTCGTAAAATCAAAGAAGGACCCACCGCATATGCAGCACCTGAATGTGCAGCCGTACTAGAGAGCGATGGAATGCGAGGAGGCATTCAAACTGCGGTTGTGAAAACATTCAAAGCACTACAAGGAAAGCTTAAGGAATGGCAGTCTTTCGGAATTTGGGTGATCGTGTGGCCAATTGACAGCAATTGGGAAAAAGGGGAAATAGCTGAAATCACCGCAGCGTGTGCACAGCACTTCGAAGAAGGCGGACGAGTTATCTCGGCATGGACTCCGTGTTCGCACGAAAATGTTCAGTCATGGAAGAAAATGTACGAAGTCTGGAGCGCACTGGACGAAACGTTGAAAAAGGGGGCTGGCAAAGGACAATTTTGCGCAACAGCCACTACAAAGATAATCAATGGAAAAGTTTATGCAGAGTTTGGATCACCGGAAACATGTTGGCAGTTTTTCGGGAAATACGCAGGAGTGGCAAATGCGAGGTACCTATATGAAAATATAAGAATGATAGCATGCTCAGTTATGATGCCACCTATGCATGGGCCGCCGAGGACGTCGGCAACCCGACGGGGAGGGATGTTCAGAAAAGACGGCCTAACTGAAGGTCCCCCTAGTAAGAGAGCAAGCCATTAAGATAGAACAAGTTGAGACACGTGAACAGACGTGTTTAATTAAGAACGGTGAGATAGCATATCGTATCAAAACGTGAGTTTCAAAAACAGCCTGCGGTGTGATTCAGTCGATTCTCAGTTCGGGCTGAAGAAGCCCGCGGATCCAGGACTACCTCCCACCTTTTTTGGCCTTAGTGGCCACGCTCTCGCTCTCGACTCGACCTTAGTGGTCGTCTTTTCTGCTCATCTGTATCTTGTTTTATTTCTTTGTTGTTGTTGTGTTGAAGTCGAATAAACTTTGGTGTGTTGGTGTCAAGAACAACTTGTCTACTTTCAAGAATCACATGGGGGCCGAACCAGCGGCTCTCAGGAAGCTCAAGTAGACATCGTTTCTGACACCAGTACTGACTCACGAAGGAGTCGCTTGTCCACGAAGGGACACCATCAGTTCAGAAGGAGAAGAGAAAACGAAGTTTTGCTTTGCAGAAGAGTGATCAGTGAG